GGATAAGTGTAATACTGGCTTCATAAAATGTGTTAGGCAGTTTTTCTTTCCCCTTCTATTTCAAAATGGAAACCAGTTTAAGGAGGGTTGGTCATCAGTTCCTTCTTTAATAGGTCTGAATTAGAATTCAGCAGAGAAATCCATCAGGTCCTGGAACTTTTCTTTTTGGGGAGACTCTTGATTGGCTGCTTCATTTCATTTTGTGTCATACAGATCTATTCAGGTGATTAATATCCTCTTGGTTCAGTTTTGGATGAATCATATGTATGTAGAAATCTGTCCCATTTCTTTAAGATTTTCCAATTTATTTGAATATAGGTTCTCAAAGGTAAGTCCTGATGATTTTCCTGGACTTCCATGGTGGTTGTTGTTACCTCCCCTTTTGCATTCCTAATTCTACTAATTTGGGTTTTTTCTCTCCTCATTTTAGTCAGGTTTTCCAGGGGTCTGTTGATCTTGTGGTTTTACTTTTTTTAAAAAAATTTTTCCTTACAGTGTTTAACCATAACATAATTAAATTATTAAACAAAAAAGTAGTTAAAATATGCAAGTTTTCAAATTATTATTTGAAAAATGATGAAATGAAAGCTGAGTGAGTGCTTTTCAAATCTTCTGGGATACAACAAAATTGGTTTATAATCCTTCTATTTAAAAATAGCAATGTAACCAGCCACTAGTGGCTTATGCCTGAAATCCTAGCCACTTGAGAGGCTTGAGATCAGAAACTTTGTGGTTGGAGGCCAGCCAAGGCAAAAAGTTCAGGAGACCCCATCTCAGCCAATAGCTGAGCATGGTGGCATGTGCCTGTTATCCCAAGCTACTGAGGGAAACATAAAATGGGAAGATCTAGGTCCAGGCTGGCCTGGGCAAAAATAACCAGATCAAGAAGGGCTGGAGGTGGTAGCTCAAGTGGTAGAGCACCTCCCCAGCAAGCACAAAACCTGGAGTTCAAACCCCAGAAGTGCCAAAAATAAATAAAAAAGTAAGAATGAATCAAATGTTCATATTAAGAAGCTAGACACAAACTATTTTATAAACATAAAGTAGAGCAAAGGAAAGGGTAAAAGCAGTTAGTCGAGGAGGGGGAAACATTGAAGCCATTAACAAGCTAGCACTTTGACACTCCTTAAGTGCCAGACATACTGATATAAAACTGATCAATTTTTTCTACTAGAATGGCAAAAGATTTTAATTTAGTAACATCTAATGTTGGTAAAGATGTTGGGGACAAACATCTCAGTGAATTTGGAAAAAAGTTTAAAATTTTGTATTCATACATGTTCTGCAAACAAAACAACAAAAAAAATCTTAGCAAATGCACATAGATGCAACCTTCCTTAAACCAACAGTGTGGTAGTTGAAAGTATGGGCTCCACAGTCACTGCCTGGATTTGAATCCTGATTTAATCTCTTCTCTGTGTGACCTTGAAGGCTCATGGAGCTGCTCCATGCCTTGCTTTTCCATCTGTTGAGTGAGGGCAATCATAGTACCTACATATCAGATTGCCATAGGAATCAGTTAATTCATATTTATAGGTCACTTGTAATAGTTTCTCACTCACAGTAAGTGTTGTAATTTGTTTTTGAAACAAATTTCTCAAGGAAAATTATTTCTAATAGCCATTATGTTAATTGACAACTGTCTATTGCTGACCTAACTTAAAAATAATTGTAGCACTAAAAGTTGTTGCCCCTAGGGTTACAGGTTCTGACTAGAGGCCTTTACTGGCCAAGTATCAATCTCTAAAGTAGAATGAAGGAGAAAATTTGTGTAAAATAGAGTATCTTAAAGTAAATTGTAGGTGATACAACACAGACATAACAGACGCACAGAACCTTTGTATTTGGCAGATGTAACCTACACATCAATAGAGAAAGGTTTCCATAAAAGTTCCGTAACGCACACGTAAGAAATAAAATTGTAACAGTCCATCCATGATAGCTGAAAATAAGTTCTAGGATGGAAATTGTTCTAATGTGAACTTAGCACATTGTGACTGTGGGAGAGGAAAGGGTTTATTACAATGAAAAGGAAAACTGTACACTTTAATGCTATAAAATAAAACTCCTGATGTTTGTCAAAAGATATCCTCACCACCATCAAAACACAGTATGAAGATAGTCCACTGAAAAGGAAGGTGTTCATAGTGCCCATGATGGTGAAGGATCAGCATCCAGAATATGTCAACAACTGTTACTCAGCAAATAAAGTTAAAATTTAGCATTAGAAACAGATGGTTTCAATGAACATTCACAGAATTAAGAATCTGAATGAATGGGCATTAAATGTGAAAAAAATGTTTACTTTTAGTACTAATCAGAAAAATGGAAATTAAGCTGGGTGTGGTGGTGCACACTTGTAACCCCAGGTACTGGAAGCAAAAGGATATTGAGTTCGAGGCCAGCCAGGGCAAAGTTAACCAGACTCTATTTCAAAAAAAAAAAAGAAGATTGGTGGTGGGGGGGTCTGGGAGCATAATTCAAGTGTAGAGCACCTGCTTATCAAGATCCTGGGTTCAATCCCCAGTACCACAAAAAAGGGGGAGGGGAATGGAAATGAAAACAAGTTTGTAGAATAATCTTTCCCACGTAATGGCAAAGGTTAAAACAACTGGCCAGGCCGTGGTGTAGCTCAGTGGTAGAGTGCTTGCTTAGTATGTGCAAGGCCTGGGTTCAGTGCAAACACCACACACACACACACACACACACACACACACACACACACACAACACACAAACACACACATTCTGGCACAGCTGCTTCACACCTGTGATCCCAGCTACTCAGGAGGCAGAGATCAGGAGGATCATGGTTCGAAGCCAGCTCTGGCAAATAGTTCACATCACAAAAAAAGGGCTGGTGTAGTGGCTCAAGGTGTAGGCCCCGAGTTAAAACCCCAGTACTTGAAAGAAAAACAAATAATTTTTGACAACACCAAATTAATTTTATGGCATATGAAGTCAGAATTATAAATTCCCGATGGTGGAAGTATAAATTAGTAATACTGCTTTGGAGAGAAATTTGTCAATATATAATGGATCTGAAGGATCACACACACATACACATATGTGTATAGATAAACGTGTATACACATGTATATACATTTTCATAGTAATTCCGCACAAAAGCATATTTACCACAGCATAAGAAATACAGTGGCAAATTAGAAATTAGGTATCGCCCAATCAATTGACACTACTGGAAAGTAAACTCTGTGAATTCACTCCATGGACTCAACAGTAGTGAAGGCGTATGTACTGGAGCCACAGTGACCAGTGTGGATAAAGTCACTAACAATGTGCATTGAAAATAGAGTTAGAAAGTATATCACTTATGTCAACTTTTAATGTCCACACAGAATGCTGAATATTCCGGTACCCAGATTTGTAGTAAAATTATAAAAGTAACTACCTAACTTCCAAAGAGTGGCTATCTGTATGGACAGGAATAGGGGAATGAATTGCTGAGGGGCAGATACATTGTGAAGTTGTATTGTGTTGGTAGTATTTTATTTCTTAAGGAACAGGTGTGGAGGAGATATGGCTAAATCTGAATGATTACTATGTGGGTCTTTGTTTCAAAGTGTTTCATTCACTTACTCATTTTAAACATTGACTTGTGAAGTAATGGACAGAAAGAGAACTGGACAGAGTCAACAATTAATTCATTAAACTGTTCACCCAGCCTGCTGAAAATTTAATTTTAGTGAATCCAACACAAGAATAAGATAGCTTTGAAGGGAGTGGCCAGTGCTACAAGTCTGAGTTATTTTATCTTGATTTAATCTAGCTCAGGATTCAATGCCAAAAAACTATTTAATTTTTATCTGATTTTCCTTTTGGTACTCTGAAATTTGCTTATAAGAAATGTCATGTTGATTTTAAATTTGAAACAGAATTATTAATCACTTGAAATAATTCTGTGACTTTTAGTGTAATTGTTCACAAATTGTGCAGCTGTCACCACTAATTCTGGAAGATTTTCATGACAGCCAAAAGAAACCTCATGGCCATGGGCAGTCCCTGCCCACTCCCTCCCTCTTCCCAGTCCCTGAAAACTACATCTTACCTTTGTCTCTAAAGATTTGCTGCTTCTGTACATTTTCATATACATGGAATCACAGAAAGCAAAAAAAGAAATGTCATGTTACCAAAAAAGGTATCCAAACTGAAAATAGAAAAATTTCTATTTTCTAAATAATACGCTGAATTGCTTAAACCAATAATAAATAAAAATGATTTATTTAAATGAAACTAAGCCAATGTTTTATGTAAATATCTAAAGTGAAGTTATTTGTTTCATAGACAGTTTGTGGCATGAGATTTTTTTTTCCTACCAGGTTAGTCTTGGTTTGTGGCAAGAGTTTTTGCTGTCCACGCCATACTTCATCACACACATGAACTCTACTGTTATATTATTAAATACTGTTATTGGAGGCTGTCAACATGTTACCAGTACAATAATGATATTTTCAGACTTGTTGCTGTCTTAACATGGAAAACATTGTTGTACAAGTGGTCATTGAAATAAAATGTCATTTCATTTAATAATGCTAGTGCGTCCATATGCTACTATTAAGTGAATTTATCTACCATTCTTCTCTTTTCTACTCTCATTCTTTACCTAAGAAGGCTGAAGCTTAAATAAAATAGAGATAAACAAGAAAATTCACACTGTTGTCCATGAGTAAAATAAATTGCAATAAACTAAAATATCAAGGATTTACATTTCTTTGAAATTGCACTTTTTTCCCACCCTCATTACAGTTCCTCAAAAGGAAAGAAAGAATTGAAACAATACATGTGGTTGTGATGTCATGCAGTTATTTCAGGAGCAAGAAAACCAGTTTCTAAGAGGAGTGGGGTATACACCAGCAAAGGGCATTCTACTTTGGGATCAGCACAACTTAAGATATGCACATGCTGATTTTCTAGGTGAGGAGGATCCAAGGGAAGAAGGACTATATTAATTGTCTACAAAAATTTAACTTTTCTTGGCAGGTTTAGATCCAGATAAGCACCTTGGAAAAACCCTGGATGAAATGGAGCCTTATCTCTTAGAGGTAAGAATGTATGCTGGTTTCCAAATTATAGGCATTTAAAAGAGAAAGTAGTGCCATGGTGTAATGATTATAGAAACGACTTTTGCTTAACATTCCATTTATATTTTATGAAAAAATTAAACTTTTTATGTATATAAAAATACATTTTAAATTATCAAAATTATTTCCATCTTGTTGACCCAGGGTAACAGTAGGCAATACCTAAAAGGAAATTGCTCTGTCAGAAAGTTTGCTTTTATTAAATGGACATCATATGCTATATAAAAAGTACTGTGTTCTGTGATCAGATGTTTTGCCATCAAAAACAGGAGTAGAAACTTCTTTGGAGGTTATCTAATCTAGCTTCTTCTCTTTTCCCAATTAGGAATTAACTTGCCAAATTACCCTAAGGTTTCAAATTATTGTCAAGTCCTGAGTGTGAGCTACACATTAAGGAAAGGTTCTGTTATTTTTATTTACTCTTTTGTGTCAGTTTTATTAGATTTGGGGGGCAGATGTTAGGTTTAGTATAGCAATGTTTTATTAACTATGTAATTATTTTACTATGTGGAGTTTTTATTCCACAACCATAAAGGAAAGAAAAGTTAATGTACTTCTGTGAAAGAACTGAACGCTTCCAGTAAGCTGTAGTTTCCACATGCTTTCATTCGTCAGTACTGCATCTGGCCATTGTGAATGCCATTGCTGTGATGACACACAGTTAGCAGTTGCACTACTAAATGCCTTACATCATTATCAATGTGCACCAAATGCGTAAGAATTTCTGAAATGTTAACTCCTTCTTTTATTAAGCATTATTAAGCACTTAGTATCTGCCAAGCAGATAGTAAAGTTTAAAAGAAGAATGAAATAATACATAATTATGCCAAATTATTTTGGCTGCTTTCTGTGTTCTTCCAATAGGACTTTTATAGCAATTTTGTTGTATAGACACCATTTTATTTGTGTTCACATCTACTCACTACAACAAAACTAAATTTAGCTTCTACCAAAGCACGACTCAAGTGGAGGAGCACTTGCCTAATATGCCAAAGACCCAGAGTTCAGTCCCCAAGAGAAAGAGACAGACAGACAGACACTATGGCTTTGGCAAAAGAATTTTTTATAATCCAATTCCAAATTTTGAAGTTAAAAGTTTATATTTTAAGCATGTAGAGGTTATTTCTAGAAAAGTCAATTATGTAGGTTGGCTATAGGTAATAATAGTGTACTATCTATTTCAAAAAGCCCCAAGAAAAGATGTTTTTTAATATTTTACCTTAAAGAAATGGTTAATGTTTGGGAAGATAAATATGTTAGCCTGATTTAAGCATCATCATGTATTTTATATACATGTATTGAAACGTTATATGGCACCCCATTAATATGTATAATCTTATGTTTTTATCTTAGAAGTATTTTTTAAATTCTGTAAGAAGAAAAACAGTGAGGTTTTAGGGACTATCAGTGTGTTGCTTATGTGTTAACCTGAGTATTATCATAGAAATCATTTTATTCAGCTTCAACAAGTCCCTCAACATGGTCAGGAAATCTTACATTCCCCTGGAACCCATTCTTTGTAATGGGTACTTCATACCTTTTCAACTTTCCTCACATTTCACATGCCTTACTCTTATCCTCACCTTGAGTGGATGACTTAGCATCTTCTTCACAAAGTAAGTAGAAACCATCATACTTAAAATTTCTCTGCCTCCCATCATCAACACTACTAACTTATCTGCACTCCCACTATCCCTGTTTCCTGAAATTGTGGGGTTCTCCTGCCTGTATATGGCTAAGTCCCTTCCTACCTATGCTGGAATCCCATTTGCACCTGCCTTTGAGAAACCTTGCAATCAACTCACCCTCATGCAATATCATCATTCTCTCTCACTGCATTGTCTCCTTCACATCAGTACTGAAATGCATTATAGCCTCTGCCATCCTAAAGTTTCCTTCCCTCTACCTTAGTTCGTTCTCTCATTACCTCCCTGTCTTTCATCTTTGCTTCAAACACAAAAACTTAGGGGTGTTAACTGTATTCTTTGCCAGTAATTCTTCCTAGTCCCAGATGCCTCATGTGTCTAGACTGTCTTCTCCTTCCGCCTCTCAGTGAATTTAGCTCTGACCAAGATTACCCACAATATCTTTTTTACCAGGCTCAGTAGACATTGGTCTTTATTTGCTAGTTACAAGCACTCCTTAAAATGTTTGTGTTCACATTCATGGCACCACATTTTCCTAGTCATTCTTACTCTCTTTTGTCAGTTCCTCACTGAGACTCTACTTTCCATCTATATACTTTCTCTGGGTAATTTCAACCACTCATGTGCCTTAAGTTATTAAGTCTATGCTGTTGTTACATATATTAGTTGCACAAAAGAATGGTTTTCATTATGACATATTCATGCACACACACAATGTACTTGATCATTTGCATCCCCTCTACTAGCTCCTCTTGTCCTCCATATTCCTTTTCCATTTCCATATCCCTAGCAGTTCCCCTTCACATGTCCTTTTCATTATAAATCCACATATGAGCAAAAGCGTAATGTTACTTGTCTTTGTAAATCTTTCTTATTGCACTTAATATGATTATTTCCAACTTCTTTCATCCATTTTACTGCAAGCAACATAGCTTTTTCTTCTTTATAGCCGAATAAAACTACATTGTGTGTGGGTGTGTGTGCATGCACGTGTGCATGTTGTTTATTCAGTCATCGGTCGATAGTCATCTAGGCTGATTCCACAGCTTGACTATTGTAAACAGTGCCATGGTAAATATGGCCATATGGCCATGTGGGTATCTCTGTTGTAAGGTGACTTTGATTCTTTTTGGTATGTTTCCAGTAATGGTGGAGCTGAATCATATGGTACTTCTATTTTTAATTTCCTGAGGAACCTTCATACTGATTTCTTTACTGGCTTGACTAATTTACATTCCCACCAAGAATATATGAGTTCCTTTTCCCCTCACCAACATTTATTGTTCTTTGCTTTTTTGATCATAGCTATTCTGACTAGAACGAGAAGAGAACTCAATGTACTTTTGATTTGCATTTCTCTGATGGCTAAAGATTTGAACATTTTCTCATGTATTAACTGCCCATTTGCACTACTTTTGAAAAGTGTCCAGTTCATTTGGCCATTTATTTATTGGATTACTTGTTCCTTTGGTGTTTACTCTTTTGAGTTCTTTATATATATTGAATATTAACCCCTTGTCTGATAGATAACTAGGGAAAAATAAGGTATTTGATGCATTTTGAGTTGAGTTAAAAGGCTGAGAGATAGGGCTCTAGTTTTTGTCTTCTACAAAGACCACAGGTAGATATCCTGTTTTTCCTACACCACTTGTTAAAGAGGCTGTCTTTTTTCCAGTGTATGTTTTTGACACTTTTGTCAAAGATCAGAAGACTGTCACTGTGTGGGCTTATTTCTGGGTCTTCTATTCCATTTATCTATATGTCTGTTTTGTGCCAGCACCATGCTGTTTTTGTTATTATGGCTCTATAGTGTAACTTATGATACCTCCAGCATTGCTCCTTTTGCTCAGGATTGCTTTGGCTATTTGGGGTCTTTCCTCCTTAGGTTTCTCGGCTGCATTCCAGTGTCCATTGAGACCACAAATTACATCTCTGTATACTGGATCGTGACTTTTTATAACATTGATTTGTTATCACCCTAATTTACTTCCAGCGTGGAGTGTTCCTGACACTTCAAAATTTGCTTTTTCCTTCTGTGGTTTTCTTTTTTCTTCCCCCAAGAATTCATTTTGCCTCCTGCCTGAAGATAATTGTTCTGACAGATTTTATTATAACTGTGGCAGTCACTCAAGACTTTAAATGAGTCCCTTTTACCTACAGACTAAAACCCAAATTCTTCAGGCTCCTCTCTCCGTCACCTTCTATATCTACCCATTAATGTGATCTAGTCTGCTCTGTCTCCAGAATATATCCTAAATTCAAGGACTTCTCACTCTACTGTTACCAACAGACCATAATCATCTCCTGTCTGGCATATTACACCCACCCCTAACTGGTCTGCTTACTTCTCCATTGCTGTGCTGTGATCCATAATACATAAAGGGCCAGAGTGATATTTTTAAAGTGTAAATAACATTATACATCTATGTGGTTTAAATTTCAATGTGTTCTCATTATGATTAGAATAACATGTGAATTCCTATGAGACCACGACCTGTGAGACCCTGCCTGGTGAGCATCCTACCAGCTTCTCAATCTAATCTTACAACAGGCTCCACCCTGTCGTCTGAGCTGCAGTAATAAATTTCTCTTTAGTACCTAAACATACGTTATCACCCCTTTTCTCCTTGGAACTTTTCCTTCAGCCCATCACAAGTTCTCATAATTTATTAACAGTTCCACTGTAACCTCCTCAGAAAAGCTCCCCCTGGCTGGCGAAGATAAAGCAGGTCTCTCATGATCATCTGTCTATCTGCTCATGTGCATGTGGGCTGCCTCCCCCAGGAGGACACAAGCTCCAGTAATCTTGCCAAGATTCTGGCAGACTTTGTTCTTTCATTCAGATGTTTGTTCATTTGTGTATCCATTCATCTCATCTTTAAATTATTTAATGTTTACTGAAGATCTGTTACATAACAGTGCTGTGCTAACCACTACGTACACAGCGAATTACTCAAGCATGATCCTTGTTCTTGAGTTTATAATCGATTATCCAAGGATATTCTGCATCTAAGGGTGCTGCTCACAGGAACCTTATTTTTAAAAAAATGCTTTTACTCCACAAACCACAAGAAATTTTAGTTCAGAAGGAACAGAGATACTGCCTTTAAATAAGCACTAGGTAATTCTCACACAGTGATCAAGTACAGTTTATTAGCGTTTAGTTTCTCAGTACCACTGACAACATCTCAGCCTTTCTTTCTAGATTTCTCTGAAAGTCTGTGCATTCTTGAAACTGTTGTCTGTTGGTTCCTGTGGTACTACTTGCTTCTGATGCTTTTCTCAGTACTTTCTTAGCTTCCTGGTTAGGGCAGG